TTGTCAAAAAGCCTGTGTTTTTAGGGTTATTAACAAAGTTTGTGTACTCAGGCCAGTAATATTTGGGGTCACAAGTTTTTGCCATGGATATTTTGTGGGTCAGAAGATACAAAGTTTGGGAACCACTGGTCTACAATACCATGAAGTGTTCCCCCTGTGTGTATGTTTTTAAATACATCAATGTGTGCCCAGTGAGGTGCATCACTAGAGGCACTATCACTTTGTATGTGCTAAACATGACAGTCATTCAACACAGACCCACAATGCAGTGCAATCCTAGAGGAAAATTTGTGGACCTTTTAACATTTCATCGAAAAGTTTATTTTTTGTAATAAGGCTATGTTTATCAATGTGTTCAGTAACACTTTACAACAAGGGACACAAAAAATGCTTCACTACTGAGGAATTACTCAGTACCTACTTAGTAACTACTCAGTAACTAATACGTAGTTACTGAGTAGTTACTAAGGACACCAAAAAAGGAACTACTCCGGGACTACTGAGTACTGTAACTACTCAGTCAATGCGTCTCTATATTACTAAATAGTTACCAAGTAGTTAATAAGTAGTTGCTGAGTAGTTACTAAGGACACCAAAGACTGGAAACGAGTCCGACATACTACCGGCGATGTGGACCAAGTTCTGGCACCGGTCGTACAGGGACCTAACAGCCTGTATCAACAGGCCTGGTACCCCATACTCATGGAGTACCCCACAACAGGAGTCCCTGAGGGACACGGTCGAACGCCTTCTCCAAGTCCACAAAACACATATAGACTGGTTGGGTGAACTCCCATGCACCCTCCAGGACCCTGCTGAGGGTGTAGAGCTGGTCCGCTGTTCCAGGACCAGGACAAAAACCACCCTACTCTTCCTGAATCTGAGATTCGACTATCTGATGGACCCTCCTCTCCAGGACCCCTGAATAGACCTCACCAGGAAGGCTTAAGGCTCCTGCATTCTCAGAACTCACGAAATGGGTTCGAATTGTTGCAGTTTCATGATGAAAATTGCGTCGTTCTGTTCACATTGTCGACATTTCGGCACCTTCTTTACACAACCTGCGGGTTGGAAGTTTTACCCCCCTCCACATAAGCACTTTGTTGTGTGATTGGTCAGAAGTTCGTGGGAGTGTTTGTTCATGCTGAATGCGCACAGACGCTGCATTTTGCTTCAATCACTTGCTTCAAAAAACAAAAGAAAAAAAGCGACTCACTTCCAGAGCCGACTTTCTGCTTTGTCATTGGAAGACATATCGGTGGGATTGAGGAGTTCTTTGAAGTATTCGGCCCACCGACCCACAACGTCCCAAGTTGAGGTTAGCAGCGCACCATCCCCACCACGAACAGTGTTGGTGGCGAACCCCCCCCCCCACCGCGAGATGCCGGATGGTGGATCAAAATTGCCTTGAAGCCAATATGGAAGTCTTTTTCCATGGCCTCTCTGAACTCCTCCCACACCTGAGTTTTTGCCTTAACGACCACCCAAGCCGCAATCCGCTTGGACTGCTGGTACCTATCGGCTGCTTCTGGATTCCCACAGGCCAGAAAGACCCGATAAGACTCCTTCTTCAGCCTGACAGCATCCCTCACTGCCGGTGTCCACCAGGAGGTTCAAGGGTTGCCACCTGACAGGCAGAGACAAGGTAGCTGTTATGATTTTTGTCTGTGTTAAGTGTTTTTATTTTTACTTTCTGTCATGTTCCTGTTTTCTTCCTCATGTCTCTCCAGCTGCCCCTTATTTGTCTGATTAGTCACCCTCGTGTTTCTCCCCAGGTGTTTTCTGTTCCTTCATTAGTTTTCTGTGTATTTAAGCTCAGTCTTGTCTCTGTGTCATTGTCTGATCATTGTTTGTTTGTTCATGTTGGATTCTTGGTATGCCCTGGCTTTCTTGCTCCTGCTTTTTGTTAGTTCTCTGTTTTTTGCCACCACATTGGCTTTTTATTTAATAAATTTTTTGTCAAACTTTCTAGTCTGCCTGGCTGCCTGCAATTGGGTTCACCCTGCCTCCTAGTCGTAACAGAATGATCCGACCAAAGTTTGAACCCAGCAGGCAGTGTTTTCCCTCCCTACCCACGGCTTGTACCCTGCCAGTTTCTCCCCTCTCTCAGATCCTGGGGCTCCTGGAGGGGATGAAGGGAGAGCTGGCTGGCCTAAGGGTACTGGTCGCTTCAGGGTGCCATTCAGAGCAGGTGGCACCAGGGGTTTCTGAAGCCCACCCTTCCCATGATGTGGATCCTCCAGCTCCTGCTCTGGTTCCTGGTGGCCCTCCTGCTCTGGTTCCTGGTGGCCCTCCTGCTCTGGTTCCTGTTGGCCCTCCTGCTCTGGTTCCTGGTGGCCCTCCTGCTCTGGTTCCTGGTGGCCCTCCTGCTCTGGTTCCTGGTGGCCCTCCTGCTCTGGTTCCTGGTGGCCCTCCTGCTCTGGTTCC